CGACCCTACCCTCCCCTCCCCTGCCTCCATCATTCCTGTCCTACGGCTGCTGAGCTCCCCCCGCCTCATCCTGCTGTGGCCTCTACAATCCTGGGAGAAATACAAGGCTTGAGAATTCACCAAGGCTGGAAGCATTAGAGCAGCCTCAGAGCCAGGTCAGCCTGCCCGCTCCACGCCCTGTCCTCTTCCTGCGGGCCACCCTCAGCCAGCAGCCACACTCACTGTCATTCCAGGTGGTGCTGGACCGGCGCCGGTGGAAGCGGCAGCTCTTGATGCGGCGAGTGGCCGCCTTGTGAATGTACACGGAGTTCTTCATGATGACCGGCATCTTGGCCTCCAGCTCTGCATTCCGGATGCACTCCTCGAAGAACCCTGTGGGCGGGCCGAGGGCGTACAACCGAATCCTTGGCGTCCTCCCCTCACAAGGATCCCTGGGGGCTCCATCCCACCCCCTAGGGACCAGAGCCACTGTCAGCAGCCTTTGGAGAGGCAGGGCAGCTGAGAACAGAGCTGTGAGGTTTTTGAAAAGGGGAATAAACGCCAGTCTCTACCCCCAGACCCAGTGGCCAAAAGGAAGCAGGTGCCAAGGGGACCCGCCGGTAGTGTCCTGACGAGAAAGCGCCGAAGACCACCTCCTGCACAGCGGGGCCTGTTCTGGGCTCTGCGGAACCTGGAGTCCAGCCGGGCTGAGCTCTGGGACTGCGGGACCAGACCCCACAGGGAGGGCTTACTTTTCAGGTGGCTCACATCAGCCCGCATCCTCTCCTCCTTCTCCTTATTCCGAACCTTGGAGTTGAGCCCTTGTTCCAGGCTCTGCAAAGCACCCTCTGCCTCCCGCAGACGCCTCTCCAGGTCCATGCGGACCTTCACCTCGGCCTGAATGAGGAGGAAGTGGCTCCTGAAAGCAGCTGCCCTCTCCCTGGAAGTCTTCCCTGATTACCCCTGGCTCATTGAGCTTGGATGGAAGTTTCCTTATCCTGTCTCCCTCGCTCACCCCTGACTCAGAAGGGTTGAGCTTGACCTCGTGCCCAGAAGGTGTCACCAATGACGCAGCAGACTGCTTCCCCCCTGGAGGCTGTATGCCCTGAACCTGGCCAGCTGGTCACACTGGCAGAGATGATCTGGACACCTATCTGGTAACGAAGGTGCGAAGATGGCCAGGGGTCCCCGGGAGAGGAGAAGGGCCCAAGTACAGCGACAGCCACAGGCCCGCACACCTTGAGCTCCCGCTCGGCCTGCTGCTTCTCTGCCGTCAGCTCCTGCAGCGAGTTCTGCAGCGCCTGGGACTGGCTCGAGTAGAACTCCCGCTCCTCCTCCAGGGCCCGGGAGCGCGCCTCATTCTCCTTCATCCTGCCAGGCAGGAGAGGAGCCTACTAGATGCTCTGCCCACCCAGAGATCTGCCTGGAGAGACTGAGCTCCCAGGACTTTCTGGGCCTGGTCACCTGAGGGGCGGTGTGGTCAGTGACGGGAGCCCTGGCCCTACAGGCAGAAGACTGGAGTCATGGGCCCACGGCCTGTCAGTTCTGAGACCTGAGAAGTCCTGCCACTCCTCTGAGGCTCAGTTTCCTTCAGTGTAGAAGGGGGCTGAGGGGGCCTGCCCAGTCAGCCACAAAGCACTATTCTGAGGACCTAATGTTCACTACTGTGAGACAATTATCCGTTTCAGGAGAAAGGCTGTCCAATTTGCCTGCTGGGGAAACTGAGTCTCATCAGGCAAAAGGAAGCAAGTGAACCACTGGTTAGTGGCAGCTAGAACCCGAGTTCAGGCATGGAGCTTGAGGAGATACCAGCCCCACAAGCTGCTCATGAATTCAGGGGTTTCAGGCCCCTCACCGCTTCTCTGCCAGAAGCTTCTCTGTCAATAGCTGCTGAATCCGATCTTCAATCTGCCTTAGATTGCTATGGAGACCCCCCATGGCAGACGGCTGCTCACGCTGATTGGCCAGTGACTGCAGCTGGTTCTTATCCTCCTCCAGCATTTCTAGGGTTTTCTTCTTCTCTATGGAGAGTTCCTGGTGTGGAGGTAAAAAAGGAACATGGTGGCCCTCACCCACCTTTTTATTCCAGGGAGTGATCTACCCCTCTCTCACAGACACCCGAGAAATCTTATTCTTCAAAAGTAGAAGGCCAAGACCTCCTTTCTTTCTTTTTTTCCAAGACTTCCTTTCTTACAACGAGGTAAAGTTACCCCTCAGTGTAGGAAGTCAGAGAGGAGCCAATGTGGCTTCCAGTGAAGATGGCCCAAGGGCACCATGACCTCCTGGGGTTCTTGTTCCATCAGAGGAGAGAAAAGATGTATCGGACTCATGTGAAAAACACCCAACAGGATGAGCCAAGAAGCAGATTTAGATGTTCTCTGTATTTATCAGCTACACTACACAGAAAACCTGGAGTGGAAACTATCCATGGAAACTACCTCCCATGACAGGAAGAAGCAGGGAAAGATAAACATAGTTCTAGTCAGGCAAGGGAAACTAGAAAATCCTGTAGCCTTCAAGGCATGGGTTCAGTAAACATGTGCAGGTCACACACAATAGGCTCAGGTGCTAGGCTTAGAGACACCAATAAGACGTTGTCTAAACTGGGTGTGGTGGTGCATGCCTGTAATTCCAGCACTCTGGGAGATTGAGGTAGGATTGCAGATTCAAGCCCAGCCTGGGCTACTCAGTGACTTAGCAAGACCCGTCCCAAAATAAAAAACAAAAATAGGTGGGCATATAGCTCAATGCAAAGGCCCTGGGATCAATCTGTGGCAGCGGCAGGGGGTGCGGCTAGTGAAGTCCACAGTTTGGAAAACACAACGTTGAGCGTTCATCCCACCACAGATGTACCAAATGCCTGTCTGGAAGCAACAAGGAAGCTTGACTAAGGAAATATCTGAGCGGAGTCTGAGAAGGATGAACAGGAGTCCTCCAGGTAGGGAGAGGTGGCAAGAATACGCAAAGGGAACAGCATAGACAGAGGTATGGAGGAGGCGCTCGTATTTCTTGGGGAATATGAGCTCGGTGATTAGAGCAAGAGTTGGGTGTTTTTCTTTAGGGTGTGGAGGATCAACAAGGCAGAAGAGGGACCCAGAGGGCATTTGTGTGCTATGCTAAGGAGTTGGCACTGTTTCCTTAACCCAGCCCCACCCCCCTCCCCTACCAGGTTTCTGTGGCATCAGGCGAAGGTGACCTGGCAGCTGATTTCCCTTCATGATCAGCTGCACCCGAGAGCAGCTAAGTGAATGAGCCACGGGAAGGATGTGGCTCCACTGTCCACCCTAATCAATCCTTCCTCTGATATAAAAATACAAACACTGACGGAGGTATTTCCTGAAGCCACAGTCACCAAAGGGCAAACTAGAATTTGCCCTCCGGGTCTGGGAATGGTCAGTTCCTGCTTTGGGCCTCCTGCACAGACCAGTTTCCCAACCATCCACAGAGGAGAGAACCTTTAGATGAGTACTCCTTCCTGCCCAGTACACTGTGGGGAAATGCTGTTGGAAAAACCAGGGTCACACAGCTCGATCAACAAGCCTGCCCAGCCAGCCACCAGCCACAGGCAGCCCCTCACCTCCAGCGTCTGCTGCAAAGATTCTGTAAGCTGCCTCAGTTCCTTTTTCTCTTGTTCCACACCCTTGAGGCATCTTGCGGTGAGTTCTAGTTCCCTGTGGGGACAGAGGGCTAGGTATGGCGGTGCCCACAGAAACGCTTCTGCTGCACCTCCTGATGTGGCTCAGGGGTGCTCTGCATGGCCAGTCCTCTGCAATCCTGGGCCCCAAAAGCAAATGTAGGGGTTGAGACTGAAAGGAGATCCCAGCCAAGTGAGGGCGGAGTTATCCGCTCCATGTGCGCATGGACCTGTCAAGCAGGATAAACCTAGAGCCACCTCACAGGCAGAATGGAGCTCAGAGAAACCAAGGGGATCAATCACACCTCGGTCTTCATGGAGAGAACCTGCTATAACCTATAATCATTGTGACACTTGTGACACAGGCATGACTAAAGCCCCTCTCTGTGGGATCAAACTCCTGCCGCCTCCTCCTCCTCCTCCTCCTTCTTTTCAATTGCTGTTGGCTTTTTGAGACAGGGTCATGCTATGTAGCCCAGGCTTGAACTCACAGCAATCTTCCTGATTTGGCCTCCTGAGTGCTGGGTTACAGGCCCGTGATACCACATCTGGCTCTTTCTACCTTCTCAACAAGCCTTGGCCACCACTGGCTTTTACATTCTACTTGGAGTATCTTTCCCCTTTGCTGCCCAATTTTCCAAGGCCTACTCATATTTTAAGGCCAGCTCCACTTGATCTCTATTCAAACCTTCAAGAATGACACATATATCTTTTTTTTTTTTTTTTTTGGTATGGGGGATCCAGATCCAACTCAGGACCTTGTGCTTCCAAGGCAGGTGCGGTGCCACTGAGCTAAATCCCCGGCCCTATGACACATATATCTTAATTCCTAAGACAAAAGGATTCTGCACTCTGCCTTCTAGCCCTGACTATACATTATTTTAAAAATGAAAATAAAGATGAATTTTCAGTATCTGCCAAGTCTATGGTATACTGTACTGTCTTTTCTGACTATACTTTATTGTGTTAATGTTTCTGAGTAAGAGTCTAGTTTTCCAGTTGGAACAAAAGATTCTCAATGGAGAAGTCTTATTTTCTTTTCCACTGTCTGGCACTTCTGGAAGCTAAGGAGGTCCTTAGCATTTGATTTGGTAAGATTTTTCTGATCCTCCCCAAAATACACATGCAGTTGATTTTGTCTTATAAGGTTGTTGGGATAAAAGATCATCACCAGGGGGCACAATTCACACACACACACACACACACACACACACACACACACACACACACCAGTGGGTGTCCTGCTTCCTCTGGACACACCCAAGGCCTGGAGTGTTGGGAAAAGAAACCCAAACCCAGCCAGGCCTCTCTAAACAGGGGCTGTAATGCCCTGGGCCCTTCCAGGGACACCGCCACCACCTCTTGATCTGCTCCTGCTCCGCTTTCAGCTCCTGCACCACTTCCTCAAACTGCTGCTTCTCGGCTTCCAGCACCTGGTTCAGACGCTCAAGTTCCTGAGCAGAATCAAAGAGGAAGAGAAGAGTCACAGGGAGAAAGCCCCTCCAGACAGGGGATCCTCTGGGATTTAGCTCAGCCCGGGGCATAGGCTGGGCCAGCCCCTCTTAATGACAGTTTTCAACAAACCCCAAATCTGTGATGAATTTGGCCCATTCAAACACAGTTTGCAAGCTGAAGGTGGGATGTAGAAATGATCTGACAGGGTGTCCCGTGGCTGGTTGTGATCAGAAAAAAACTTGCTGTGCTGGGCAGCTCCGTGAGAAAAGCTAGGGAGTACGTACTTCCATTAGAGATCCCCAGAATGATGTTACTTAGAAGTGGCAATGAAAAGCCATTCCCAGCCCCAAAGCCAGAGAATAAGGGGTCTTTTGCTCAAGATATCTGAGCCAGACAGCTAAAGCTGCCCTCTGCCAAACCCCAAGGCTGCAGGAAAATCAGAAAACCCAGGAGAGGCCCCGTGGAGCCAGACTGGTCACTTTGGGAAAGCCACAGCCTGAGTGTTTTCCTACTGAGCATGAGCCCTCCAGGAGTCCTATTTTCCCTGGGGTTCAAAGGCAGATGGTACTGGGAGGTACATTCCATGCGGAATTTGGCTGGAAGCATTTTTGTGACAACTGCTTTGTTCCTCCACATTTTGTACTGTGGAAGAGTATTATTTCTATATCTACCTTCTCACCTTCCAACTCCAAATTACACTCTAATTTTCACCTGGTGGCTTTGTTCTCCAGTATAATGGGAGTCCTACCAGGAAATAAGGCTGCCTATAGCAGGCACTGCCAGTGGCTTTGAGGAGATATAGACAAGGAATAAAATATGATTTCAAATGCCATGACCTTCATTCCCAAACTTCTTACTCAAAGAATCGTTATTACTTCCCCCATCTAATCATTATTAGCACTTTGGGTGAGGACCACTGGCCAAATGTGGCCATTACCAAGGTTGCTCACTGGAACTTTGACGGTCCTCTAGGCACACAAGGGGCTGCCGTGTGCCTGCTACAGATGGATGTGTGCACAGGACTGGCCGAGGCCAATGGATACGAGCAGAAATGTGTGGCTTCCAGACAGATAGAGGCCTTGGGAGAGTGCTTGATGGGCTATATTCCCTTCCTCCTGCCACAGCAACCACTGTCCAGCAAATAGTAGTTCTCCCTTAGAGGAGAGGGTCCCTAGGTCTGAGGTCATGCAGATCAGAGACCCGAGCAGACCCAAGTAGATGACTGAGAAATGCACTGTGCCGTTAAAAGCCTCTGAGAGTTGTAATCTGCAGTTGTAACCTATTTATGACAGGCCAAACACAGTCTTATAAATAACATTAAAATTTTGTTCTTATAGACTCACCCTTTCAAAGAAAGAAAAAGTTCAGAGCTTCAAAAAAGTGTGACCCCATGTCCCATTTCACTACATTCTCAGGAGCTGATACACAATGTTGCTAACGATAATAATACTCTCTGGCCTCCGGTTTAACCGATCTGGATTCCCCTCTGAGGGCCTCTGCCTGCTGTGGAAGATCTGTGTAGGGACCTTGGTAAATTATAAGCTTCAAACACCTCTGAGCTAAAATATCTCAAAGGCACCTGGCTCTTACAGGTCCCAAAGTTTTGTGGCTTCAGAATGACCACCTAGTTCCCAGCGGGAAGACCTCAGTTTAATCCTCACACTCTCCCTTCCTGAAAGCCTCTTTCTTTAACACTCCAACTTGCCAACATTTCCCTTTGCTCACTATTACCCAGGCTACCTTTCTGTGGTGAGAATGGGTGAGCAAACGACTAAAACCCCACTCCTTCCCCCCCTGGCATTCAAGCACCTCATGACACAGCCAGTGTCAGTTATGCCTCCAAGAACCGAAGGGGAAACTAATATCTGAAAAAATAATAGGATGAAGCATAATTTTCTTTTCTCCTCCCTCCTTTTGTGATCTCAGGCAATGTGATGCCTTTTCTACCAGAGAGACACTAACTACCTGAGCCCAAATAGTATTTATTGCTGGGTGAAAGGGCAGATGAATGGGTGCCCATAATTGGAGCCCTTCAGAGTTGAAGCAAATTATCTATCATCTACCTATTTTTGTAGTACTTGGGAAAAAATCCAATGCCTTGCGCTGAGCTACATTACTAGCCCTTCAATTTTCATTTTGAAATAGTTTTTTTTTTTTTTGACATTTTGAAATAGTTTTGCTAAGTTGCCCATGTGGGGCTCAAACTTGCAATCTTTCTCTCTCAACCTCCTCAATAACTGGGATTGCTGGCAATCACTACTGCACCCAGCTTCAAAACTCCTTCAAAGGAAATTCAGTCTTCATCAGATGCTTGAATCCCTTGCTTGGTTTTCCTGCCATGAAATGGTTCAAGCTCTGCCTGAGTGACACTCGTGACAGGAAATGCTCCTATTTCTTAAGATAGCCTATTTCACCCTTGAACAACTTGATTAAAAAGTTCTCTTCTGGGCCAGGGATTTAGCTCAGTGGTTCTGCCTCCTGCCTCACAAGCGCAAAGTCCTGAGTTCAATCCCTGGCACAAAAAAAACCAAAGCAACGACAGCAACAAAAGCTGTGTTTCTTGCAAGCTCAACCCCCTACCACACTCAGTGCTGTCATTCTGTGAAAGCCGCAGATATAAAAGCATTGATGAACAGTGAAAGATCATTTTGAAATCTTTATGAGGCCCCAGTGAGAGGGTTACATCTCATGTATGCAGTGAAACTTCCTTCCAAAGCCCTTATACATCTCTGTCCCTGCCCAAACTTTTTTTTTTTTTTTTGTACCGGGAATAAACTTGGGTCCTTGGGCTTGTTGAGGCAGGTGGTGGAACCACTGAGCTAAATCCCTGACCCCAAACTTTCTTTTCCTTCAGCAGCTGCCTCACTCCTGGCCTTTCTTTCTGAGCCACACCCTCCTCCGGAGCTCCTCTCCCGGCCAGTGGGCAGCCCTTAGCCAAATCAGAAATCAGCAAAACCAAGAACAGTGGCCAACACCTGGTCATTCCCTGTTACTCACAGACACCCAGGGAGGAGGGCACCATTTCATCTACTGCTTCCCTCTGAGGAAAAATCTGCCTCCTAACTTTTCAATGAGTTCGACCCCGCATGCACACCACCATGGGGCCATAGAACAAGACTTCTTGCCCTTCAAGGATTTAAAAGAGCTGTTCTTTTCCCAAGCTTCTTGTCCTCCAACCCAAACAATTCTTGTTTGCCATGCTTCAGCAGACATGATTCTAGTCCTCAGTAAAACTAATTATACTCTTAAAAAGAATGCAGCGGCACAGGCTCCTGATTAGGAAGACTTCATACAGTAGAGACTCTTTGCAGGTAATATACAGGCTCAATGTCATTTCAGTAAAAACTCTGGTGAGATTTTTTTTTCTTTTAAATTCTAGTCATTTATGCCACACATCTTTCTAGAGTGCTTAGTGTTCTGAGCACCTGCCAGACTATGCACTAAGGAGCTGAAGATGCATTCATGGAGATTAAAGGCAGCTATTAATAAAGTCAGATCAGGAATGAAATGTTGCTGAGATAATCAGACATGCTGGAGTAGCGAAGATACAAGATATTTAGGACAGGGACCTACTTCTGTGTAGAGCTGTCCTGGATGGGAATAGGTAGGATGTGGAGGTGGAAGGATTGCAGGGAGATCGAATGATTCTTGAGCTGACAAAGGAGAATAAATCGGAGGACAAGGAATGAACATTCCAGGTTGTGGGAACTGTATGTGCAGAGACCCTAAGGAAACATGATGCCTTGAGAGAACCAAGACAGGCTTGTATGGCTGAGTGCAGAGTGAAAGCGAACACAATGGGGAAAAGGTTGGAAGGACTGATAGAAGCGAGACCACGTACAATCCTCTGCTGAGGATTTGGGTCTTTCTTTCTGAACAAGAAGCAATGAAGGTTTCAAATGGGAAGAAGGGTTAGACATCAGGAAGCACTATCTGATTTCCATTTTAAACAGAGACTATGGCTGCAGTTTGGAGGAAAGGATGAAGCAGTTTCAGGAGCCCAGGTGAGAGGTGACTGAATTAGTGCAGGCAAAACCTAGCAGCAGTGTGAGCCAGACAGAGCAGGACAGTGGGCGGAGGACAAGGGCCCTGGCAGATTCTAAATCTGGGGGGAGCCACACTAGCAGAACTTGGAGTGAGGCAGGAAATGGTAGAAGGAGAGAAGACCTGTACGTTTCTGACCTGCATAAACCAGGGGTAGGGCACATTCCAGAGATAGGGACCATAAGAAAACTGCCAGCTGTGCCAGGGAAGATCAGGAATACGGACAAGGACGTTGTGTGTGATGGTTGGTTGACTGTCAATTTGAGAAGTTTAACTAAATCACTCAGCAATTCTACACTGTAGGGTGTGGAGGACACACCCTAGGGTGGTATAAGGGGAAAGGAGGGAGGACCGATCTGTTTCTGTTACTCCAGAGAAGCTGCAGTCTTTGCCTTGGACGTCATCCGCCTTCCATGCAGATGCCTTGGCGTCAGGCATGGATCCTTGGGTCTCCGAAAGGAGGCTCTTTTCCCTCACAGCCCCATCCGGCTCCAGATTCGGACTCCCATGGGGCCCTGCAGTGCGCTCCAGACCTTCAACTAAATCCTTGGGTCTCCTGTGTGCAGACAGACCCTCTGCACTCTTCCTCATCTGAGTGGCCATTTTAAACTGATCTTGCATCATACATATTTATGTACCCCTGTGTTACATCTGTTTCTCTTGTAAATACCGACTGATACATTGTTTACCAAAGGCATCAGCATTAGCATAAAAATGGAAAATGAGGTTAGGGACCTAAACTTCCTCAGGATGCAGTGCCAAGTGGAAACCGGAATGAGTATTTCTCTGAAATGAGGCAGTACTACCTCAGAGAGTTATTAGGAGGATTACAGGCGCTGACCTGTTCTATTTGCTTGCAACATAGTAAGTGCTAAAATGTTAGCTGGTATTATAAATTCAAACTGTATCTTTTCAGAAATGGACAGAAACTCAAAAGAACAGAAAAGAGAATGTA